GACAGAATTATGATGAAAGAGACTTAGCGACAAAATTAGTGATGAAAATTTTCACGACAAACAATTTAGCGATCGGATTAGCAATAAAAATTAGCAATGGAATTTTCTATCGCTAATTCCATTGCTGAAAATTTTATAATTACAATTAGCAATAGAAATTTTTGACTGAAAAAAATTCTGTCGTTAAATATTTACTGACGAATTTTTCATCGGATATACTCCATACCTAATCTATTACTAAATTTAGTGACAAAATTTTTATCCATAATTCATCAAAAATTAGTGACTGAATAATTTTTCATCATTAATTCCGTCAATAATAAGTTTTTTTTTGTAGTGAATTGCTACAAAACTGTGTCATTGTTTACTCATTTGCTTTTCTAATGTAGTCAATTGCTATTAAAGTATAGTAAACAAAATGGATTCCAAACTTTGAAATCCAAGGATATGTGTGTGTGTGTATTTGAATTTTTCCTATTAAAAAACACCACCTTGAAGCGCACAAGAAAACCAATTGGCTAGCTTAGATAGGCTTGCATGCTTTACTAACTCAAACAAACTCAGTTGGAATCCCTTAAATCCAAAATCTCAGTGCGAGTAGGATGAGCTGCATTACGAGGACATGATAATAAATTCAAACATGATCAAAGTTTATGGATGCATTAATTATTTCAGGAAAAGCCCACTTAAAAATTTTTCAAACCCACAATTGATGGATACATCTATTTCCAAAACCTCCACTTACGAAAGTTCGAACCTACACAATGAAGCCAAGGCCACTAATAATGAAGTAATCCCTGCATGGTCTCATATGTGAGAGGTGGGCGACGACCCTAAACTCCACTTTTTCAAAACCCCACAGGTTGATTTTAGTTTTTTATACTATTCTTATCTTTAAAAGTAAAATACTCTAACTTTCCTTATATTTTGTCTTAATTACACGGACTTCTCTTTTATTTGGAAAAGATATACTTAAGTCCAAACCATTAATTCCATTAAGAATTAATATTCTAAAATATTTTTTATTAATTAAAATTTATGTTGAAATACTTTTGATTTACTAATTTACCCCTCATAATACTAAATCCCTAAATTTTGACTAAATAAAAGATTTTCTCCTTTACCTTAATTTTATTTTTCATTGTTACAAATTGTTGTTTGTTTTATGTTTTTATCATACTGGGCCAGAAAATTAATTAATTTAGTTAATGTAAACATAAAAAAAATTGAATAGAAATTTGATTAATTCTTTAAATAAATGTATAATCAGTCAAATTAATTAAATAAGTTATAAATGTTTGCAACAATTTTTTCCAAAAAAATTAATTATAAATTTAAACGATTTATGTATTTTCTAAAATCACATAATTTATATTATATGATGAAAAAATAAGCATTTAAAATATTCTCTAGCCATTTAAAAGAAACCTTAAGTTCCAATATGTCATGAAGAATTAAAATTATATAATTCTATAATATAATCAAAATTAAAAATTTTATAAGATATTGAAAATTTTGAAAATACATGTATATAAATTATTTTTGCTATCAAAAATTATTTTTTAATAGATATAAATGTTTAAATAACGTTTTAAGAGGGATATTTTGGTCAGAATAAAAGTTTGAAAATTAAACTTTATGGTCGACTAATAGGTGAATAGATGAAAATAGAATCTTAAAAATATAAAATAGGTTTGTGTAACATACATTTTAATTTTATGGGAGGTTTATATATTTAGGTTAAAACAGAAGGGTGGTTAATATATTTTATTTTATCTTTTATAAAAACTATAAAATTTAACATGACTTTAAAATGATTATTTCCTTTTTGATAATAAAATATTGTTCATTACGTTTATGTTATTTAATATATTTTATGAGATTTTAGTCTTTTAATATGGTTAGATTTTCAAGTGGCCAAGAATATATTATATTTCCCAAAGCTTTTTCCGACTACCTTATCGACCGAAATATATATTAAAATAATATTCTTTATTCAAATGAGATTAATAGAAAAGATTTATTTTATTATGAAAAAAGAAAAAGAGCTAATTTTGCACAGAAAAGTCATCATAATAATATATAAAATGGAAGCAAAGGATAAATTTTAAAATTTACATACATTAGTAATTATTTTTCTAATAAAGATAAACTCATAATGAGTCTATCATTTGATTTCACGTGATGCGAGTGTATACATTTAATATAAGATACTACCTCCGCTTCTTAATATAAAACTTAATTGACTAATTTGAAAAAATTAAAAGAATTTAATTAAATTAATTATTTGTAATAAATCTATATTATTTTTTCTAAAATGTCCTTATTAATCATGTGTGTTTGAATTACAAATTAATAGTAACTCCGTAACATATGAAACTACTATAGGGATTATTTGAGAAAAAATGGATAAATATTGAAGACAAAGTGGATTGTAGTCTTATATTTAGAACTAAATTAAAAGTCAAACTAGCTCTTATATTAAGGATCTGAGCTAGTATTAATTGATTTTTACTCCTCAATTTCACGACTGATTGTACTTAGTTTTATATCTGGTGTGGGGATCATGGAAGTATGGTATTTATTTTATTAAATAATTGTATTTATTGTTTTGAATTACCAGTTTGCCCTTTCCCCAAAAATCGCAACCCTGCCCACAACTGCCCACCCACCTTTGCCGGAGATGACACCAGAACTCATGCTTCGGTTCTATTAAATCATTTTTCATTTTTCTTGAAGAAAATCGATGCGCATTTTTATGCAAATAAAGAACAGGAACTAAGGTGAAATTGAGACCAAAGGGAAAAATAACCAGAAAGACCAAAATTAAAAGATCTTGGTCGTCAAGGAATTAGGAAACTTAAAAACAAAAGGAAAAAAAAAAACTCTTCCCTGAAGAGTGAACGCCATCTTCATCGATGATCAAAGACCCAAGATCAATGAATCAAGAAAAGAAACCAAAAAGTCAAATCCAAAGACCCAAGATCAATGGAGTTTCAAATGACTTGGCATCACAGATCTGAGTCCTCCTCCATCATTCGCCTTCAGTCTTCATTTGAGTTGAACAAGGCTGAATACTTCTCCATTATGTCGTTCGCCTTCGTCGTCATCCTCCATCACTGTCGTCAGCCTTCGTCGTCGTCCTTCGTCAGCCTCATTTTTCTAGGGAGGGAGGGGGGAGTCATGGGTAAAATGGTAAAAGAATGGAGTTCCATAGAAGTGGAACCCAGTTCTCGGGGGGCTATGGGACCTACTTCCATCATTTTTGATGGAACTCAATTCCTCAGAGAGTTGCCTTCAGCCATACCAAACAAAAAAAATTTTGGATTCTAGTTGCACTTTCACTTCACACCTTCCCCAATTCCATGCTACTAAATGGGCATCACTTTTGTTTCCCACCTCCTCCACCCATGTCTGCGGTGGACGTGATACTGCTATCTAGAGTTTCCTCCATGACTGTGCGTGGTTGAGTTTATCATCTCTTGGTGATAGGCGGTGGTTCAGCAATGATCTTTTATTAGAAGAGTTTCTAGTTCCATTTATGTTTTGTTCTCTAGTATATTTTCATATTTTCCCTGTCATGAATGTGTCTATATATATTGTTGAAACTGAGCAGTAAACTTCATTTGTGTTGTTGAGCTAACTTTCATCTATTTGGATTTGGTATGGCTGAAGGCAACTCTCTGAGGATTATAATATGTTAATGCACTATTTCAGTTGAGTTAATTTGTATTGAGTTATTTACTATTTAGCATGTTATTATGAAATAATTCTATGAATTGTGCTTGCTCGAAAATGGGTATTGACACATATTTCATTAATTAGGATCATTAAAAGATCAGGATGTGGCATATTAATGTTAGGTGCATTCCATTAATTAGAGCTTAATTAAAAGGAAAGTGTATTAATCCAATCCTAGTTGGCACGCAAGTTTTCATTTCATTTTATAGAACTTATGTTGCCATAATCTATATTATCAGATGATGCGAACATGTTTGATGCCTTTTTTTATCATCCTTAATCTATGAAACCACAATTGGGCTTTGCTGATTTTTAAAAGCAGCGTGTATGTGTGTATGGAAATCTCATAATTTGAGCGGTAACATAAGCTCACCTAGTGATTTTGCTCCAATATATACCATGATTTATTATGAGTGAAAGTGTTTTTATTGATTTTTCTTGTAATTAACTTGCTGCATGCCTGTTTCTACCTTACATTAGACAAAGAGAAGATATCAATATATACTAATATTTAACATACTACCTCCAGTCCTTAATATAGGACCTTGTTTGACTTTTATTTTGGTCCTAAATATAAGACCCCAATCCACTTTGTCTCTAATATTTATGCATTTTTTCTAAGATAGTTCTTCTAATAATAATAGTACTAGCCAATACACTTAATTAGCAAGGATATTTTAAGAAAGACAACAACTATTTATAACAAATAACTAACTTAACTTCTTTCTTTAATCTCCTCGAATTAGTTAACTAGCTCGTACAATCAGGACCAGAGGTAGTATATCATAAAGAGAATATCGTTCTTGTTTTGGTAGGGGGAACCCTCCACATGATATATAGTGCCTTTTCTGATCCTAAATTTTTAATATGTGTCATGTGTCCATAAAATAGAAGATTGAATTCTACTATGGCGCGGAGGGGCAACAATTAAATGAGTTATTTTAGAAAAACCAATATACATTTTTCAAAAAACTAACTTAACTAATTTAATTAATATTTATAAACTATTTATTTAGCTTATATTCATTTTCAATAAAACAGAAGAATCGTTATCTGTGATTGAAACGAATTGATGTTGAGCCAACCCGCGTATATACTTGCATTACACTTTGGGGTCATGCGCAGAATACTAATCCCAATGTCATTTTGATCCGGTGGAGTCAATGTTCAATGATAGCTGTGCTAATAAATTGACTATAATTATTATAGTTGTGCTAATAAATCTAAATAACAGCAACATATTTTTACTATAGTTAATAATTCATGACTTTTTATTTAAACTTTATAATGGACTTGAGTTCATCATAATATAACACTGGGAGATTGAGTATAGATTCGCTAGCTAATGCAGAAGTCTATATGGAGGGGAAGTAAGCCTTGGTATTGATAGAACAAACTCGATTTGGTGAATCTGTATTCCTCTTCATCAAGAAGTATCCGTCCATTCCCCAATTTGCACCCCATGAATTCTTCACAATCCAATAATCTTTTCTATCTTTTGAACCATATCCAACAATCAAAACTGCATGATTTGTGTAAGTTGAATCCTTTTCGCAATCCCCTCCATCGAAAATTCCCTAGCAAAATACAATAAATTTAATTGGGAAAAAATTCAAAATCATGATTGATAATTTATAGTGGGCTTAAATTATACCCAAAAATATTTGGACGCAAATTAAAAAAAAAATTATACTACTTCCTGTTCTTAATATAAAATCTAATTGACTGAGATAAATTAAGAAAATTATTAAATTACTTTAAAATATTTATATTTGTTATTTTTCTCTAGACTAATTTGCCTCAGTCATAAATTGACATATAATCTGATGAGACACATAAGTATTTCAAAGAGATAATATAACATATATTATAATTAAATAATTTAGTAACTTCTTTGATCTCTCCACATTAGTTAACTAACTGGCTAAGACCAAAGGAAGCATATATTAGAAAGCCCCAAAAGATCAATTCAATAAAACAATCAAGTAGAATAATAAAACCAAACAAGAAACACAGACTACAGACTGGACAGAGAAAAAAAGACTTACATCCCGATAGTGTTGAAGATATGTTGCATCCAACGACACCGTAACGGGCTGCTGAGTAGCGGCACATAAGAGAGCCGCATCTGATTTAGGCACCTTTCCATAGCTATTAATTTTCACCACTCTGCTTCCATTTTGCTTAACAAACTGTTCACCAAATAACTTGACCGCAAGTGGACGGGTCGCAAGTAATATAAAAAGTATCTTTCCCTCAGAGACTAAGGCTAGATGAGTTGAAAAATCATAATTGTGTATTTGATTAGGTCAAGTGAAACAATTGTTGTAAAAGAGTTTGTGAAATGAAAGTTAAGAAAACAATGGTTTAAAGCAGTAATAAATCAAATCGACCTCGAAACAATTAAGAGACTAAGGTTATTCTTCCCTAAAGTACTTCATGAAACTGGATTAATTACTTCTCAAGTAGTGCTTTACAAAAAGTTCAGTTAGCCTGGGTTTACAGAATTGATTAAGCTTTCTCAAGTCAAAACCAAATGTTTGCAATCACGATTAAAACACAGCAATCTCTTGCACTTGTTTGAAAAGGTTGCACTTTAAAAACCAAAACCCATTTAGTCTATGCTAGGTCAACAGATACATCTCTGCTCCATCAACAAACCATCTATTTACTCAATTAAATTTCTGGACTAGCATGTTTTTACCAAAGTTCACGAATTAGTTTAACTTTCTCAAGTTAAACTAATCAATCAATCAATCCAAATGATGGCCAGACAAAAGGAAGTATTAAGCTCAAAGTAAAAACAACTGAATATTATCATTAACACTAAAGAGATAGTAAAACCCAGTCTCAATCCATACAATAGATCAAAATAACCCTAGAAAAAAGGATTTAGCTATACATATCGAGTAAAGAACTACAACTATAAGAGTATCTAGTAGTCATAGCAGAAACAAGAAGGGAAGAAGAAGGAAACCCAAAAAATTCGAGTTACAAGCTTTGAATCTCTTCTAGCTTCAAGCCCAAAGGTTCTAAGCCTCCAAAACTCCAAACCCTAGCAGAGCCAGCCTCCAAAATTGCTCCAAAAGTCGAACTCTCCAGAAAAACCGAGTATCCACCTCTATATGCCCTAATTTTTTAAGTTACAACGTAAAACGCACAGCTGCGAAAGGGCCAGGCGCCGCGGCGGATTCCTTCAAGCGCCGCAGCGCCTATTACAGAATGACTTTGAGGCTCAGGCGCCGCGGCGCACGTGACAATCGGCCGCGGCGGATTTTACCAAACAGTTTTCTCCGAGATAGCTTGGGCACCGCGGCGGATTCAGCAAGGCGCCGTGGCGAATTTCACAGAGGCGCACTCCTCCCTTTCTGTTTGATCCGCCGCGGCATTTTATCCTAGAGGCTGCAGCGGATGACTTCTTTTCAGCTTTTCTCCATTCTTTACTCTCTTCAGGCTTTGTTTCCTGCAAAATTGACTTTTAAACCTAATAAAAGAGCATTAAATCAGCTTAACTCAGTAGGAATTTTGAGAGGTTATCACACCCCCAAACTTACACTTTTGCTCGTCCTGAGTAAAACAACAAACCAGCGACTAAGTAACAAATTGCACATTAAAGATTGTAGGAACAGTTGTATCCTCATCAAATGCTCAAGAAACTATACAGGATAGGAAATTACTGAATCACCCAAAGAAACAAGTTTCATGAACTTAAAACAAACTTTCAATGATTTTGGAGTGTGAGTGTGTGTATAGAGTCAATGAGCATCTCTTAAGATATTGTTTCAGTGGAATGAGAGACTTTAGCTAACATACTAACCTTCAACCGCATCCTTTCATAAGCCTAATTTCTTCTCTCTCTCTGTCTACAACTCACCCCATATACATTTGAAATCAAAGGGACTTTTCGGCTTATAACATGGCCAAGAGGTAATGGCTTAGGAAAGAAAGGGGAAAATAGATCATACAAATACTTTGAGATAAATAGATATTCAATAATCAGAACTTACTTCAACCACTTTCATTCTCCCAAACTTGTACCACAATTATCTATATATAGACATGTATATATATATTATTTTCTTTTTTTTTCTTTTTTTTTCCTTCTTCTTTTTTGTTTTTTTTTGTTTCAAAAACACTGAAAACAAAAATTTACAGCTTAGCTCCTAGCACTTTAAATTTTCAGAATAATTGACTACCCTTGCCAACCTTTCAAAATCTCCACATTTCATCAAACCCCTTATCCTTTCAACTTCCATTTATCTCAAAGCTAGGGATTTCATGGTTTTTCTCAATTGGTTTTGGGTTAGGAAGAGGCTAGGGTTTGAAACAAAACTTGAACATATATACTCTTTTTTTTTTCTTTTTTTCAAAGCTCAAAGCTTGGGTTCAAAGGACAAAACTTATAAGGTCAGCTTGAAAGGCTCAAACGCATTTAAGAACTGCCCTAATCCTTTTTCAAATTCATATAGAACAAACTATAAACTTTGAGAAATCAGAAGAAGGTTCTGAAACAATTTAGTTGAAACAGAAGTATAGAGGCTAAATTATCCACTCCACCTCAACATAACCACTTGAAATGTCTTGACCCTTTTAGTGCGTTAGTTTCTCCAAAATTAAAGAAACATAGGTTTTAACCTCACAATTCAAGCATCAAAGAGCAAATCAAAACTTCCTATCAAGCATAGTAACTAAGCATTTTGTTCAATCATTGGACCATTCATACATTCTCAACTAACAACTTGCCACTTCAGCTCATATTTCATAAAATCAACTGAGCAAAAATTTAAGCTGACAAAATTTCTACTGTTTCAGCTGTTTCAAAATTTTCTCAAAAAAATGACCTTTCAAAAAAATTTTCAAATATAACCCTGTTATCCACAAAATTTTCAAATTTAATCCTCTTATCCACAAAAATCCTATTATCCAAAAATTTCAATCCTCACCCCCAAACTTAAAATTGACAGTCTCCTCATTGTCAACAAGAGGAAGTAAAGATCAGGGCATGAAAGGTCAAAATTTCGCTTTTCTTCCTGTACAAGTATATCAGTATGCACAACTATCAATAGTATCGTCATCAGATAATCATAATGAAATCATCAATTACTAAACGCATCCACAAATTAATCAATCAAAAGATCTGTTAACCATTCACATGTTCAATCATTTCGCAATAGTTAACACAGTGAAAATCAACAAAGATAGAAAATGCTCAACAGTCAGAATCAGTTCAATAGGCCATCAGTAGCCTTGCCAGAATCATAGAAGAAAACAACACACAAAAATAGACCAAAAATGCAAGAAAATGCAAAAACACACATAAAGACAAAAGCAACAAAGCAAGCAACAACAGCAGCAGAAACGGCCCCAACTAGTCATCCTCCTCCTCAGAATGCTGATCCCCCTGATCCTCATCACCCTCTGCAAATGGATCGACGGCCATATCATCGCCCGAGCCAATACCAGCCCCAGAAGTTCCAGCTTCATGTTCATCTCCTGGTGACTCTGCCTCAGTGCTTGTATCTTCCACATCCGGCGCATCAATGTCAATTTCCTTGCAATCTGGACTAATAGTTCCTCCATGCGCCTTTGTCTACGTCTCCTGTGACGTATCTCTCTGTCCAATTTCTCGTGGAGGAGATCCAAGCTTTGAGTGGTAGGGTCAACACTGGCACTGGCTGAGCTTCCTGTTGCCTCCTATATTCCTCGGGGAACTGTTCAGCAAACATGGCTTCAGTGATCCTTTGCTGTTCTCGTTCAGGAACCAGATTAGAGTAGTTGAATGGTGAAACAGCTTGAACTTTCGGTCTTTGTCTTTCCATTCTACCCCCACTTTAGATAGCAGATCCGAGATGATGAGGCATGACGAGATTTGTGTTGTGGGCTCTGCAGGCATCCCAGATGGCATCAAAAATCAATTTCCCTACATCTACTGTCGCCTTGATCATAAACAGATATATCAGGAGTGCCAGATTCCTTGGGGCTTCACTGAGATGCGTGGTTGGCATAATGTTTCTTGTGACAATATGCAACCAGATTCTGGCCTCTGGTATCATGTCTTTTCTCATAATATATGCCTGGCCCCTCTTAGGCCGCACCCACATCTCATCAGAACCGGTGAGTGTTGCTGAGATGGCATCGAGGGGAATCTCTTTCTGATTGTTGAGATACCACTGATATTGGCACTTTTCCACCTCGGGAAGCTCATAGTGATCTCTAATGCGCACCGGAGTAATGAGGAAACCTGGTACCGTATAAACATCTCATTACTCAAGTTTGTTGCCACCCTAACATAGAATTTTCTGACCAGCTTCTCATTCCCTTCACCTTTGGGACCAATCAGATTTAAGAGGTTGAGCTTTCTTGCTTTTTTATAAAATCCAAATTTATTTGTGCACGGAAATTCTCTTTCTTGATGCAAACCTCTTTTTTCAATAAGCTTTTAATTGGAGGATCAGGGGAGGTAGCACGGGCTTTCTTCCTGGGGGCCATTGGATTGTTACCTGCAAAGAGAAAGCAAAGCACACCACACACAAACTAAGCAAATAACACACCACAATCACGAAACAACCGACAAAGAAAAAGAAGGAAACTAACCTAAAAATAAAGAAAAACTATCCCCCAAACTTAAATCAAGGAGCCAGAACACCATCTCACCATTACCTAATCCCTTTCTAAACCTGAGTTATAAAATACTCCCAATTCAAACCAAGTTCACAAAGGTTCTCTTTTATCTTTTAATTTCAAAATCAGACAATCATCAGTGGCTACCAATTTAAACTAATTTCACTAAATCAGAATAACATTTCTAAATCAGTTACAAGTGAAAAAGAACAACATAACTTGGGTAATGAACCGGTGTTATTTGAAAATTTAGACAAGGACCTCATTTTCTCAAAATAGGTCCAAGCTATGATCACTCAATTTCACAAGTATCACATTTTTATCAGTACATGTTCACAGATAGTTGGGCAATAAGGAATTATCACCTAACCACAATGTAACCTCAGAGAATCAAAATCCCCCCATCTAGAGTTCTAAAATCATCTAACTACAATGCTCAACCCTAGCATTACCCATCTCCAGCAAAACTAAACTAGAAGAAAATAAATAAATAAATAAGGGAGAACACACTTACCATGTACGAAGAAGGGAGAGAAAACGCCGAAACAAACACAGAAGAAGGGCACCGACGTTGAGGGAGAGAAAGAAAGGCGGTTGGTTTCACAAGGGAGAGGGAAAAGGCGAACGGTGGTGAGACTGAGAGGCGATGACTGGTGCGGCGATAAGGTGATGACCGGCGACGGTGGGAGAGAAGGTGAAACGACCGGTGACTGGAGACGGAGTGGTAGGGAGTTATCAAATAGGAATGGGGGGAACCGAATGGGGAGGGGATTATCTGATGGGGAAACCGAATGGGGAGGGGGGATTTGAAATTTGGGATGGGGAGTGAAAAGACCAAAGGGTTAGGGTTTTAAAATTAAAACAATGAATCTACCCTCAAAACCGGTCAGATACTAAGGGCAAAGTGGGTATTGAGACAAATGAGTAAGGCTAAAACGGGGAACATCAGAGAAATTGCGAGAAGGCGCCGCGGCGGATTCAGTAAGGCGCCGCGGCGCCTTTTACAGAACTGCAGACCTAGTTGAAGTAAGCGCGCCGCGGCGTCTATGTCCAAACGCCGCGGCGGTTTTTACCGAGGGGGACCGAAAGCCACGGACGAAGGCGCCGCGGCGGATTAACGCAGGGGCCGCGGCGCCTATTACAGAAAGGGCATTCTGAAACAGACGAGGCACCGCGGCTTCTGATCAAATGCGCCGCGGCGCCTCACACAGAGAAGGCCTAAATGAAAAATTAATGAACACAACTGGACCTACCACAATCAAACACCCTACACACAATAAAACAAGACTAAACACAAGCACAAGCATAAAAACAAACACAACACAAACAACCACATAAAAGCAAAACCCACAAGTCTCAATTTAACACAAATTTAAACCAATCAAGGTCAATGCCACTGCTGGAGATTAAGGTTAGGTGCACTTCCCTGGTTGCGCTAATTAGAAATCAACCACTCCTGCTAAGCTCCAAAGTTTGAGGAATAAACCAAAAGGCCTACAAAAACAAAGATCAACCGTAAATCCACTAAAACAAAACCGAAATGAAAGAAACACATCAAAGGCAAGTTTAGAGCTTGGGTTGCCTCCCAAGTAGCGCTTGGTTTATAGTCTTCAGCTTGACTCTTCACTCTGTTATGATTGTTCAGCAAAGTAGATCGTAGAAACTTGACGATCCACCTTTCCACCCCAATAATGCTTCAAACGATGGCCATTTGCATGAAATCTTTCACCTTTTTCATTTTCCAGCTCCACCGCACCATGGTTAGCAGCTTGTACCACAGTGAATGGCCCTGACCAACGTGATTTGAGTTTGCCCGGAAATAATCTCAATTTGGAATTATGAAGTAACACCTTTTGCCCCGCTTCAAAGACCTTAGGGATAATTTTCTGATCATGATACTTCTTGGTTCGTTCCTTATAGAGCCTTGCACTTTCATAGGCATTAAGGCGAAATTCCTCCAATTCATTCAGTTGAAGGAGCCTTTTTGCACCAGCAGCTTGAAAGTCAAAGTTGAGCTTTTTTATGGCCCAGTAAGCTCCATGTTCCAATTCTACAAAGATGACATGCTTTTCCAAACACCAACCGATAGGGAGACATCCCAATCGGAGTTTTATATGCTGTCCTGTAGGCCCAAAGAGCATCATCCAGTTTTAATGACCAATCCTTTCTTGTTGCACCTACTACCTTCTCAAGAATGCTTTTGATCTC